CCGTCTAATAAGCCACTCCCCCCCCCACAAAGTACCTGAAATGAATAAGCCCCCTGGGAGGCTTCTTAGAGGATTTATGGCACTTCGAAAACTGTCTCCAAATATTTACTCAAAGGCTTCTGTAGTCTTTCTTTGCACAAAGTATTTTATTTGAACTGAGAATTTAATTACAGTATACCACAGTGTATACTAAGTAATAATAATTGTTGAGTGCGATGAAGATGAAAAGTAAGAGAAACATTGTTTACTAACCTCATTGACAATGAAAAGTTTGTCTTTGCGGTCAAGTTTAGTTTCTAGAAAAGATTGACATAGGGAGAAATGTTATAGGAACATTTTCATGTTCAGTTTAGTTTAGTTTTAACTTCTACTGTAGCATTAATTTTGACTTTCAAGTTTAACATCTCTTTAGGATAGAAATGAGGCTATTTATCCTCAACCAGCTTCTCAAGAGGCTGCCAGGGCAAGCAGAAGAAATTTTGAACATATTAAAATTATAAAACAATGTTGACAGCAGTTTCATGAGATTGCCTAAAATCCTCCACCTTTTACTTTGTTAACCCTTTGACCTGTCAGTGACTAGCATCTAATTTCTCCTAACAATATCACTCCTGAATCAAACATAAAGGTCATGAGAATAAAGGAAATGATCATCCAGTTAAAGCAGCTCTTGATTGTTAAACAAATTCTCCTTGTCAACACCTTAGGGAATGTATAGAGAACAGTATGGAGAATATGCATTCTGATGTCAGGGTGAAAAGGGTTAACTCAGAAACATGGCTTACATCTACATTATAACTACTTGGATTATTGCCTATGACACATGTAGGAGTAAAGATGTATTTTGGAATGATTGGTTTAAGGTCAACATGCATGGACCAGTACCAAATATATTCATGCAAATAGATGTCTATGAGAATTGATCATAAAGTCATTAACATCATAATCATTTACCGGATTTTGAATGGGGCAACAATGTCTGTATATCCAGCATAATTTTTATTTATTTATTTATTTATTACAATCTATGGATTAAAAAACCAAAGGATGAACTGCAAGGGAGTCTCATACCCCATATAAAAACAGATCACCTAAAAATATATAAATAATATAGCTACTTAAGAATCACGGAAAAATTTCCTAACTCTAGACTTAAAAATATTTACATTATCACAAACACAAATGTATAACGGTAGCTGATTCCACTGGTAAGTAATTCTATGTAAAAAAACTATACTTAAAGACATTAGTTCTAGCATATTTCTTCTTTAAAGTTAAAATATCCTTAGCTCTAAGTGAGTAGCGGTCAGTTTCCGAGTAGAAATCTACAATTTGACTGACGTTAATATCAATGCTGCCATTAAGGACTTTATAGAAGAAAGTTACATCAGTCAGTGACCGTCTCTTCTCCAGTGACATGAGGTTTGACTTCTTTAAGCGAATGTCAAAGGAATCATCACTTTTCAGGATAAGTTTAGTCGCTCTTCTCTGTACTCCTTCCAACTTATCAATCTTTCTCTTTCTATATGGGCACCACACCACTAAACAATATTCCAAATTTGAATGGACCAATGAGCAGTAAAGAGTATGCAAGGTCTTGGGGTCATCCATACCTTTACAAGTTCTCTTAATCAGACCGAGCATTCTGTTAGCCTTAGATACTCCATAATCTATATGAGGGTTCCACGATAAGTGATGATTTGTAATAATCCCTAAGTCTTTAAACTCTTTAACCTCTGCCAGCTAAGAGTTTTCCAGAAAAAAACTAGAAGTGAGTGGTTGAAACTGCTTAGTAATTTTCATAATTTTGCATTTCTTGACATTGAAGTTCATGAAATTTGAAACACTCCACTAATGCAGACTATCCAGGTCCTGTTGAAACAGTTTAAGATCACCAGCCATGTCAATAGCCCTTATCGCATTTACGTCCACTGTGCGAGAGCTCAGCGGACTTTGACGTTTCAAAACAAGGCTATCAGGTCACACAGGCAAAACTTTCAAGTAAAATCGAAGCAAACGGCTACGTTTGTAGGCATTTTTATTCATTTTCTTAAGGATACAGCGTGTTCTCGTCATGGTTAGACATTGTATTGCATACAGGTGCAACAGTCTATTCAGTGAATCGGTAACTGACGAGATCCACAAGATTAGGATCAAAACCGCGGTCTTGCCCAACAAGTTCAACTATCAAACTAGAGCCGAACAAAACGCGCAGCTGAGTCTCACAGGATCTTCCTATAATGAAACCATGTTGCCACTCAGTTAAAAATGGTGTGACATGCATGATCATAAATAGCAGAATGAACAATACGTTCTAAGCACTCAGCCAGGATTGGCAGTGACGAGATAGATCTGTAGTTGGTAATGAGCTCCTTGCTATCTCCCTTGTGTATTGGGGTAATATTAGCTGATTTCCATAAAGTGGGCATTTTCTCAGTTCTCAGATATAAGTTAAACAAATGGCCAAGTGGAGCAGAAAGCTCTTTTGTACAAGTGTGTAAAATACGGGCTGGTAGGTTGTCCACACCAGGTGCCTTGTTTATGTTGATCTTACTCAGAATTCCTTCAAGCTCTGGAGCTGTTGTTGTAACTTCAAATAACAAGTTCGGATTAACAACATCTGTGGCCAACAGTTTAACATCAGTACAGGGTGAGACAAAAATGAAAAGATAAGGTTGCCCTTTGGGCAAGGTGTTACTTGAGATTACTAGCTCGAAGGTCTGAGGAGCTAGCCCGAAATTAAATTGTCTATAAAGAATAATTAGATTTATTTAATTATGCAAAATACAAGTAATGATGCCAAGCATATAAAGATATAAACTAATTCTTCGTATATTTTGATTCTTGAATGTGATTTTCTTTTTAAAGTGCAACTAAACCCAAAATTTTTTTTTCGCTTAATTAATGAAATAAGCTTATTTTTTGGAGTATTTCTGTGCAAAAATTTTTTCATTTGCTTAAATCTTTAATTTTCTGTGCCCAGTCAGAATATGGAAAATCGGCCACCATCTTGTCCCACGACCGAGTTTAATGAGGAATGGCTCTAGCGGGTCATGTGACGTCAAATTGAGAACACGAAAGTCTGCATTTCACACATTTTTACTTGTTTGGGAAGGTTGTCGTCGATATTGTCCGAAATATGCCGACTAGGTGTGTTGTATGAGGAATGTATGAAGCGCGATACTCTCAAACTACAACCTTCTCAAACAAGTGAAAATGTGTGAAATGCAGACTTTTGTGTTCTCGATTTGACATCACATTACCCACTAGAGCCATTCCTTTTTAAACTCGGTCGTGGGGCAAGATGGCGGCTGATTTTCCGTGTTTTGACTGGGCGCAGAAAATTGAAGATTTGAGCAAATAAGAAACTTTTCCACAGAAATACTCCAAAAAATATGCTTATTTCCTTAAGCAAAAAAAAAATTTTGGGGTTTAGGATCACTTTAACTTCAACCTCACATTAAACAATGTAACAGAAACAACCCGTTTTTACACCTGACCACCAGAAGTTGCAGTTACAACTTACATCAAAATTTTGTGGACAAGAATTCCAAGTACAGTCACATGATCTAATCTTGTGATTGCAAATGACTGCTTCAGAGTAAAATTTCATTCAAACATGGAGTAAATTCTCTTCAAAGCTCGTCAAGCTGACAAACTCTACCAGACCTGGCGCCTTTAGCATCCAATAAAAAATAAAAACAAACACGCAACTCGATAACGGCACCAGGTCTGCTAGCTTTTCTCCAAGCTAGTTTTTTGTTGTTTTTTAATTTTACTCAAAGTGGGCCTTTTTTGTTTTAGTAATGAATAGGCAGCCTTAAAATAGAAACAAGAATCCGGATTTGGATTTTCCCAACAAAACGCACCTAAAATTCCGAGAAAATCCACTGAACTGTGACTTGCCTGCAATTTAATTAGACTGATTGTCTCTTACTGCACGCTGTCAGTCGGCAAATAGTGTCATTTCAAAAGAAATATTTCGGCCGCTTATGTAAACAGAAAATGTCATGACGTTATTTACGGACGCAACTAAAATGCGGCGCAAGACGTTGTCATGCTACAATAATTTGGCCTCATAACGTTGTCCTTTTCCCTCAGGAGCTTTCTGCTATACAATTTTTGGTATAAAAGCTCAATTTATCATCATCAGAACAGAGGAACCAATGGTGGTGCTTGCCCGTCGGGCAAGCTGCGATAAG